GGCAAGTTTCTGTCCACCACTGACAAAGTTGGGGCAAATCACTTACCTTTCTGGGAAGCTAATACTAGAAGACTAATATTTAGGCTTTTGTGGTATGGTATTATGATGTTATCAATTCAAAATAAGATACTCGAGTAGTTATAACCTGGCAATTAAAACTCCTATAAGTGGAGCAAAGATGCAGGTATCAAATACTGCCAGCTTGTAGCTAGAGGGCTATGAGCCCCAGGTATCAGCCTTGCGCCGTTGCTCAACTCTGACTGGCCAGAGCTCTGGACTCAGTCCTGCCTCTGCTTCCTAATTTCTACACACAAATAACAATAGCTTTGTTGAGAGATGGTTGGGAGGATCACAAAAGATCAAAGGGATTAAAGTCCTATGTACACTCTGCTGTTTCATTTAAATCTAAATTAACCATATGCTATGGTTCAGACAAGTGTCCCTTGAAGGCCCACATGAGGAAGGCTTGGTCCCCAGCCTATGGTGCTATTGGGAGGTGACAGAGCCTTTAAGAGGGGCCTAGTGGGAGGAAGTCAGGTCATGGGAGGCATACTCAAAGAGGATTGCAGGATATTGATCTCTCACTCTCTCTTTCTTTGCTTCCTGGCTGCCATGAGATAAGCAGCTTCCTCTGGCATGCAGTCCCAACATGATATACTGCCTTGCCACAGGTCCAGAAGAAATGAGGTCAACCAATCATGAACTGAAATCTCAAAAATGGTGAGCCAAAATAAACCTTTCCCCCTTTCAGTTGGTTATCTCAGGTATTTTGTTATAGTAACAGAAATCTAATAGCTAACACACTCTATGATTGTTAACAGGAGCATGACCCTAACATTAAGCAAATGTTAACTTTAAAAAATATATATTTTTAGTTGTAAATGGACACAAGATCTTTGTTTATTAATTTACTTTTATGTGGTGCTGAGGATTGAACCCAGTACTTCACATGTGCAAGGTAAGCACTCTACCACTGAGCTACAGCCCCAGCTCCAAATGTTAACTTTTTAATTTGCCCCAATTTCTAAATAATGTAGGAAGATGCATCTTGGAAGTTAAAATTTAAAAAACTGAAGTAGAAATTATTTCTAAGTTTAGATGAATGTTTAAGGAGAAAAAAAAATGACAAAGACCATTTAATGTTCAAAAGCCAGATTCATAGTGGTAACTGAGTATGGGGTAATATCAATATTTCTCAGATATTAAAATAAAATCATTCACTGGCTGTGGTTGTGGCTCAGTGGTAAAGCACTCACCAAGCATGTACGAGGCCCTGGGTTCGATCCTCAGCTCCACACAAAAATAAATAAATAAATAAAATATATTGTGTCCAACTACAATTAAAAAATAAATATTTAAAAATAAAATAAAATCATTCACATTCTAGTCCCTATGATTTATGAAAAGCACCAAACTGGTTATTTTAAGAAAACTGATGTAATTAATATAGACATAATTTAGTGCCCTTTCCCCTGGTTTCAAGTCACACAGGTGAGGAGGAATGGGAGGCCTGGGCCAGAGCAGTGCAGGAGCCCAAAGGAGGGCTTCCCTGATATACTGCAGCTCTGCTTGTCCCCATGAGAATGGCAGCACCTCTAGAATTCCTAAACTCTGGGCTCAGCTTCCCCAGAAATGGAGTGGTCATGAGGTCATTGGCATAGTTCACACATTAGTGACTGGAAACTGGCTGCTCTGTTAACCCTCTGCAGATTAAAGTCAGCCAGAGGAAGGTGGTAATACTTGAAAGCAAGTCAGAATAAAGGGATCATCACTGCAAGTCAGAATAAAGTGATAATCTTTGCTTATTAAGAGCTGGAAATAACTGCATATTGTAACCAGAAAATGGCTGTGTGTCATCTCTTCTAAGTCAAAATGCAGGAAATTGAAAATTTCATACACATAAAAGGCCCCCTCCCATTAAACAAATCACCTTTGGTACCATATAATTTATTTTTAACTAAAAGCTAATTTTAAAGAACATATTGATTTTAAAAAAATGGATTTGGATTTCATTTTCTTTATGGAAATAATACCTGGCCTGGCTTACCTATCACAAATCCCAAATTAATCTCTGGTTAAATCAACTAGGTTTTAACTAGAGTTGAAAAGGGCTTCAAGCAAACAATAGAAAATAGAAATATTTGTTCAGAGCACCCTGCTGATTTTGAAGTAATGTGTCTACCTACCTTATRCTTCCAAGAGAAATAATTACAAATGTTGGCAGTAACAGATACAAATTACATTTAATTATATTTGCCTACCTGTTTTTTGAGTTTGCACAATTAGTTTTGGTAAGTGAATATAAATCTAGAGATGCCAAATGGTAACCATGTTATCTGTTAATTCTAAGTTGAAATTATTGCCTATGTTCATAATTATCTTTTAAGATTTGATTTGTGAATTTGTTCTTCAACATGTGCATAACATTGCCCACCATCCCTTTTTTGGACTTACGGAGACCAAAACAAACAAAAAAGGAAAAGGAAAAACATGTCCCAGCAGTATCAAATTCCTATAATTGTTAGCAACAAAAACAATAATTAAGAGATATAGTTCATAATGATTATCTTGAAATATCTATAAGGTAAAGACATAAGAATTAGGCTCATCGCTCTCATTATCAGATGTCCCTCCTTCTGAAATTTGTTATTAGGATTAATGCTGTGAAGAAGGAGGGTAGAAAGATTAAGTAAAATSTGTCAAAGTCTAAGGTAGTTTGAATTGGGAACTAATTTTGTCTTTTAATTTTGATTTTTTTTTTTTAATTTGCAGTGTTGGGGACTGAACCCAGGGCCTAAGCACTCCATCACTGAGCTACCCTCCAGTCCAATGGTGATCATTTTTAATAGTATGGATGACATTTCAGTATGTGTGGGAGCTCTTTCTTCCTCACCTTCGCTCATGATTGCACTAAATAACTAAAATTTTTGTGGCAATAGTCTGTCTCGGCTTGTGGATCTCTTTCTCCTTTACTGCTCCATGAGATTCATCCCATAGCCAGGTTTGGTTAGAGGAAATAAAGAATTTCTTTGATGAAAGCCTCACTTTAAACTTGTCAGTCAGTCCATGGACCCGATAAGACTTCCAGGGGAGTAACATACAGCAATCCTAGAAGCACATTGTCATTTTGTGGAGTGTGTTTAGGGTATCTCTCTTGAAAGGAGGGACTTCTCCCAAAATGCCAGGGAAGGGATGGTTTTCAGACAGATTTCCTTCTTCTAATTGGTGTCTAATTCACAGGCCATTGTAAGGAGGTGGAAGAAGTCAACCTTTGATGCTCTCCTCTGCTCATTGCTCTATTCATCTATTCTTCAGAGTATCTAGAGCTCTGCTGTTGAGTGACAGGGGCTAGAGATAGACATGGCTACTTAGAGACAAGTGGAAATATAGAAAGTAAGTCATTTCTGCAAGGCCAATGAGTTAAGATGAACATGCCATATCTTTTCCCCTGGGTTATCCAGAATTAAATGAATTTCTGTATTTATTTCCTTTCTGTTACTCATAATCTAGTGGCTCTCAAATTTGGGCAAGCATCAGAATCAACTTGGAGAACTTTGGAAACCCAAACATCCTGATGGCCAGCTCCAGAGTTTCTGATTCAAGCAGGTCTGCTGAAGGGATCAAGGCCTGGCATGGCTGACCCGTGTTTAGGTGGTAGTGATGCTTCTAGACTGAGAACCACTGTTTCTTGAAATGTGGTCCATGCATCAGAATTACCTTGAGACTTGCTAAAGCACATGTTCATGAGGGAACAGGGGGTCAGGATGGCAAATTTTACCCAGCTCCCAAGTGACTCTCATGAACTCTAAAATTTGAGTCTTACTACCTTTCCCCTTAGTAGGGACTTATTTTAGGGTTCCATTCAACCAAGATGAGTTATGTCATTAAGTTCTCTGCTCACCTCTAAACTCAGTGGCAAACACAATGCATCTCAAGTGCCAGCCACATTCTGAGACTTCTTCCCTGACTAGCTATAATGTAGGCCATGTTGTGGGAAGGGGCCAGTGGTCACCCATCATTGCTATCCTTGGAGTGTCAGTGGAGAAAGTGGTCTTTGGAGAACTGATAGAAAACAGCAGGAATAGGAAAAGTTCCAAGGGGAAGGTGGGTGGGTGGTCTAGCTGTCCAGTCTATTAGGAGTTCCTTCCTATACAGCCCCAGCCTAGAGCTTTTTACACTCTCTCCCTGGGCTATGCTGTTGAATAAAGGAAGGACTCCACGTAAGCCCTAAATATCTTTGGAGATATTTTAAGAGCTTTCCTAGCTCTCATGAAATCAGATAATAACTACTTTGTGGTCTGCATCATCTAATAATTCCCATTCAACAATTCAAATCATTTAATAAATAACGCCCTTCCACAGTGAAACAGACCTTAAACTTGAGACCAAAACACAACGCCTTTTAATGGATTCACGTCAGTTTTAAGACCTAAGAAGGTAAAGGCAGGCCTGAGATGCTCATCCTGTGCACAGGCCCACTCTTACACCACACCTGGCCCACAGCCAGACCGCCAGCCAGGGTCACTACAGTGTTGGTCCCTGCTCCACTCTCCCATTTTAGGTGCTTTTAGCTCCACAGTTGTGAAAGAAAACTGAGACCACGGTCAAAAGTGTGTTACACACAGGTTCAGCAAAGAAAAATTGGAAACCCTTCATAAGCCAGCCCTCCAAGCAGAATAAATGCCATAACAGAAATTTCTAGACCCTGAAAGATTAGCTTCTGTGGTTGAAATGATAAAAATCCATGGTGTACTTTCATTTGTGGGTAAATCTGGGTTTCCTGAGTCTCACTGAGTACATTTTTCCAAGCTCAATTTTTTTTTTTCCTTACAGCCAACATGCTAGACTCTGGTAAATCTGTTCAGCCGCTCTAACATGTTCTAAAATTATAAACCGGAATCCACACCGTCTTAAAAACCTCACGCTCTGGCTTCACACACCCTCTGCTCCTCATGCATCTGAAATAAGGCAATTGCTTGCAGTCTCCTCTGCTACTTTACCTGAGCTGGTGGAGGCAGGGGATTTGCTGCGCCGGGAAGGTCCTGGGCTCTTGGTGGTGCTCCTGCGGGATGATGAAGCTATTTTGGTGTAAGAAGTGGACTTCACCACACGACATTCTGGGGAAAGAACAACAACCGCACATCAGGATTGGGTCACCACACACATGCCATCTTGAAATATACAATAAGCTTGGATGTTGAAATATACACTCTCAGTCATACCTCCTGCCAGCCCAGTGCTTGGCCATGCCAATGGAACCAGGAAAACAACCAGTAAGAACAAGGTGGACTTCTTAGACGTGGAAGTCGGTAATACTTCAAACCTCTTGCTTACCCTCTGTACAACAAGATTATGGATTCACTGGAAGTAATAGGCTGATAAAAGGGTGCTTTCATTGGGTTTCTCTCCACCCACCTTTGAGCTGTCTGTGTATGTGTATCATTTGTAGGATAAATTATTTACTTTTTTTCCAAGAAAAATTTTAGAAGAAAGCAAAATCTCATAAACCAAGAAATGTGATGGAAGCTTCTCCCCTACATGATGGGTTCAAGTTTACTGTTCTGGGGGGGGGGTTCTCATAGGATCATGGTGGGTCTTTACCGTATGTGGGTAACAGCACAGTTGCTCATAGAGGTAGCACTGGAAAACAGGTGCTGTTGTTCTGCTAAAGGAATCATGTGTCTTCCCATGAYGCTGCTGCTGCAGAGCTCACTTTATGTCTATAAAATCATCTTGGACTGAGGATAAGAAACAACTACTTTCATTAGATTTCAATCCTCAGTGTTTGTGTTCACCAAATTCAATGCTAAGTATCCTGAATAGCAAAGAACTTTGTATTTCTCTCTTAGTACGATTCACTGATAAACTTTGCTGTATAAATCCAGGCATCTTATTCTCAAGAAATCACTTAATAATTACAAAATATTTATTAGCTTATAATGATAATCGATGTTCACTATAGATAGAAAAATACCAAGGATATTTTAGAAAACACCCCAAATACTCCACAACGGAGAATACTCTTTTGCAGGAAGAGAGTACACAAACCTTGAGAAAATTTCCTACTCGTTTGTATATTTAAACAACATTGGATTTAATCTGTACACATTCATTTCTCACCAGCCCTTTTTCATACTACAATATCTTGTGAACATTGTCACTCTGTCATTTAATGGCTGCCAAGCATTTCATTGCCTGGGGTACCATAATTAACCAAATTGCTACCATTGGACATTTAACCTTCTTACAATATTTACTATCATAATTACTCAGTAACACTCTTTATACATGAATGGGCAGTTAATTGATTATTTCCTTAGGATAGATTTGGTTCCCTGATACTTGAAACTAGAAACGAAGGACTCAAAAACATCTGCTGAATGCTATAGGTTCGGTGGGCTGAAAGAGAAGCACTTTTTAAAAGCTCTTTACAAATTATCCTCCAGAAAGTACTTGATCCAAATCATACTTTCACTACAGCATGAATGACCACTTGCCTAACTCCTCACTGATGTTAGGTGTTATCTTTCTAAAGAAAATTTGTGTGTGTGTGTGTGTGTGTGTGTGAATTTTTAAACAAATATAAACCTTCATTGCTTAAAATCTGAATTGGTTTGATTGCCAGTAATATTGTGCATTTTTTCCCACATGCATATTAGCCATTCGTATTTCTCCTTTTGCAATTACTTATTCATGTTCTTTGTGCATTTGCAGTTGAGATGTTCTTTTTTCTAATTGGTTCATAAGAATGTGTTCTACATTAAAATTTTATCCCTTAGTCTATTATGTTATAAAKATTTATCTTTGTAGGTAGTTGTTGAAACACGCTAGCCTTTTGAATGTGGTATTCTTTTTAAGTATAGCAATTTAAAACTATAGTTTATTAACTTTTCCATTGTGCATTTTTAACCATTTTATGTTTTAGTAACCAAGGACTCTCAATTCCCAATCCACTGCTGATGTCCGACTTCATCTTTGAAGTCCATGCAATTTTTCATTTTCTAAGTTCAAAACATGTTTCTTTTCCTTATTCACGCTGTTGAATAAAATAGTTCATACTGTTTAGTAAAAAAAGAATGGAAGACTTGAATAGGAGATAGGACAAAGAGAAAAAAGCCCCATGAATTGAATTGAACTGGGGCAAAAAGAAGAGGAAGAATTTCATGAAGGAGGTGGAGGAAAAAAAGAGGGAAAAGGGAAATTCTGCCTTTAGATTTTAGTATTTATGGTTTCCTCTGCTTTTCCTCATAGCCAAAAGCAGGGAAAAATAAACTAGGGCATTACCACACTTCCCCAGATTTCCCCAACAGTCATTTGGGCCACTGTGGCCATTTTGGCCCACCCAGGTAGCCTTGCCAGGAGATTTCATTTCTTAAAGAATAAGAAGGATCATATAGTGGATCCATTTCTAGTTTTTCGAGGAATCTCCATACTGCTTTCCAGAGTGGTTGTAACTAGTTAATCTGCAGTCCCACCAGCAATGTTTGAGTGCACCTTTCTGCTCACATCCTCACCAGCATTTATTACTGTTTGTGTTCTTGAAAATTGCCCTTCTAACTGGAGCTAGATAAAATCTTAGTGGAGTTTTGCTAGATTTCCCTAATTGCTAGAGACGTTGAACATTTTATCATATAGTTGCTGACCATTTGTTTTTCTTCTTTTGAGAAATGTTATCCAAGAGAACTAAACTCAGTATTCTATAGGGATAGAGCCATCTCAATGTGTATAGCAGCACAATTCAGGACAGCCAAACTATAATCAACTCAGATGCCCACCAACAGATGAAGGGATTAAGAATTCTAAATCAATAGAGTTTAACTTAGCCACGAAGAAGAATGAAATTATGGCATTTACCGGTAAATGGATGGAAATGGGAACATAATGCTAAGTAAAATAAACCAGTCTCAGAAAATCAAGGTCAAATGTTTTCTCTCATGTGGTAACTGGAACAAAATAAAGGATAGAAGGATAGAAAGTCATATCATAAAGATCTAAGAAAAATCAGTAAAGTAGAAGGAGACTGAGACTCAGCAAGAGCGGAGGGCTAGAAAAGGGGAGGAAATGAGAAATGAATTTTTAAATATCATGTTATGTGCATATATAAATATACCACAAGGAATTTAACCTTCATATATAATTAGAAATAATCAATCAAAATAAATAAATAGATGAGTGAAAAGAAGATCAGTAGAGCAGAGGAAGTAGAATGAGAGAAGGGAGAAGGGGAGGGAAAAGTGGAGGGACATGAAATAAAATCCAATTCCATGCATGTTCAAATTTATTGAGATGAACCAAACGACTACATATAACTATAATACTGCAAAAAAAGGAGAAGAAAAGTCACATACAGGGGCATATTGGCAGAAATTTAAAGATGAATAGCCAAGAACAGAATTAATAATGCAGAAGGTATGATCAGAAACCCCAGGACCATCCACATGGAACAATAATGCCTACAGATGTGTCCATGAGATTTTAATTCAGAAAGCAGAGCTCTGGAACATGTGAAGGTGACCTTGAATTACCTCAAGACACTTTCCTGACAACACATCCTGGGGTTTGTGCGACATTCTGGATATTTGACCAGCCTTTTGGCATTATGTTAAAAACCAAACTGAATGGCCATAATGGGGCCCATCCATGGGCATGCTGCTGGTTACATTTTCATCAAATGCCCACCATGTGCCAGGCACTGAGAGCTGCAGGCAGATGCAGAACAATTCAAAATTGGAACCTGAAACATACACCACCTGGTAGTGGTGCACAGAGTCTCTCTGGGTGGGTGTGAGTGCCAGCAATCCCTCTTTTTTGCTAATTTTAATTTCATAAACCTAACATTTGAAAAATGTTGGTTAGTGTAATGAATTGTTCTTAAGTAACAATATAGTTTCTCATATTAAATAAAAATGAAGACAATAACAAGGGCAACATGACCAGAAGATTTTGTCTCAGGTCATGGATATTTAGAGGTCACATAAATTTAAAATAAATAATTTAAAAAGACCAGTGTCTGGTTAGTGGGAATGAGTAGTTAAAACAGAAAGGTACCAGTTGGCTCCCATTGTTAATAACGTCATCTCTGGACTGCAACATGAGTTAAGAAGTTGATTTTGGGGTTTATCTCATAGTCACAGGTGCCAGATTGCTAGTTACAGCCAGGGCTCTAGATTAGCATAGTAAAACCAATCTTGCCACACTAAGTTAGTATTTTCTAACTACCAGAAGGATACTAGTAATTGTAGTCAGGAAGCTCAGGCTACATTAGCAGAGCAAATGTAGGTATTTCATTAGATTTCTGAAGGATTGAAAAGGACTTGGAGGCTCATGCTGTGCCTCTATTACAACCATGGCTTCTTTTGAACTTAGTTCTCATCATACTATTAATTGATCATCATTACTCATTTATTAGTCTGCCTTACACTCCCTCTGTCCATAAGGTACCAACTACTGCCTGGAATATTGACAAGTTTGGGACAGCTGCTCAGTAAATGTTGTCTGAATTGCTATTGGCCCTCTTACTATGGGTGAACTCTTGAGCATTCACTGAACGAATCCAATCTTTCACTTTAATGATGAGGAAACTGAGTCTCAGAAAGGCTAAATGACTTGCATCAGAATCTATGTCCCATGAGCTGGTGGCTTTCTCCTTACCCCAACAGCTGAGGATGTGGCCTAAACATGCCGTTCCACGTGAATAAAGTCTGAGACATTTCTATCAGTGTCCATGGTCAGAGGCCGATGAGTGGGTGGTGGTGGACCACGGCGAGGATGGCAAACATCGATTTCTCATATCAACAGTCAATTAAAAATGAAAGATGCTGAAACTAAACTTTCTATCAGGATGTGCATTGGATCAGAGAAAAAGAAACCATGAACCATGAACCATTATAGCTCCAGAAGTGGAGCTATAATGAAGTAATCACTTGGGGGATCATGGAGTCTGAAAGATAATTACAAATATTACAAATCTTGTACCACTTGCCTTCAGGGTAAGAGTGAGGCTTCATGATTCATATTAGGGATTAGTAAAATTCTGAAAGTCTTGGGATGAATAACAGCAGCAGAAACAACACAGAATTATAGTAACCACTGTTTCCCTACCCTGGGGTCAACATGA